GATAGTTTCCGGAACCAGACATGATGTCACGTGCCTTGGCCGTTTGGGTGTCCTTCAAGCGCACAATAGGGCAATCACTGTAGTCATTTCGGATTGCTGGTTGATAGCTATAAAGGCACAGTATGAGATGGCGAAAAAGCACAATTTTGTCCTCATCGGACAAATCTTTTGGATTCTTGTTTAGAATCTTGCGATTCACGTGCCTTTGCAGCTCCTTTCGGCGTTCATTGATCTGGTCCAAGGTCTTCCAATTGGCCGCTTCCCGCTCTGTCAACTGCTGGGGAGGAGGTTTCGCATCTTCCATAAGCTTTCGAACCTCCATGTACCGCTTGTAATAGGCATCATAGAGCTGTTTGTCATCGGGGAATGCTTTGCGCGCTATCACAAGGAGCGGGTTAATTCCAGTGGCCTGCATTGATAGCTTGATGGGATACGCTTCTTGAAAATAATTGATGATCCCGTCGGCATCCTTGATCCAATCAAAGCTGGTAAAGTCTTGTTGCCGTTTGAACCCTTGAAACAAGCGCATAACATGATTGATATATTGTTGAATCGTCAAATCCTTTCGAGTGCCATCATCGAATGCCGAGCGCAGAAGCCTTTCCCCTTGGGTTACGGTGGTTATATGTCTCGTGCTTTCAATAGGCCCGTGCATGTTTCACGTTATCTGGATACTGCTAATTTTTTTTTGACCATCCGAACGTCCTCAATTCCAGATACCATGAATGACCACGTTCAAAATTGATCGTACGAAATTGAGATGTGTAGCAGCTTTTAACAGTGAAAACGGTTATGAGAGCCTGTAGAACCCGCCAGAAAAGCAAGATGGCTACTCCATTTTGCGCGCAAAATACACTAGCTTTGGATACTGTGACTGGAGGTGTACAGAATTGCAAAATGGGCTCTTTTGGCGCATTCTTGTTATCTGGGCGACGTGTTTTCAGAGGCTTCGTGAGCCACTCGAGCCTTTGACGGGTTTGCCAACATTTCAAGCCCCAGAAGCGGCTCGCTGTCGTCCCAAATGATACTTGGGGCGCGACACGAATAGGATGGGGAGATCGCTCTTGGTGTTGCGCAAATTTTGGGAGATGACGCCTCCGTATCGTGCTCGTTTGTATGTGCCGTTCTAACTCGCAACTTCCGTGCACGGCGTCGTGCTTGAGTTGCGCGATTCAAGGCGCTTCGCCAACTCACTTTCACACCGTACGGCCCGTTCAACCCCGTCTTGTCCCAGAAGGCATCAAAACCCTCGGCAACCAATGATCGCACGAGCGCTCTGGTTATGTGGCCCGGATCATGCGGTTCGGTAAGCGCTCGCATGCCGCCGAGAGCCGCAGCATCAAGAACGGTTTCAAGCAATCCAAACTGTTGATAGCTTCTTACAATAGCTGACCGAGCGCTCTGTAGCACAGAGCGATCCATCTCAAGGATTGCGGAGCGCGAGCGGGGGCGATACCCAAGAATATTATCCATGGATGCGACTATTGGTTACGGTGCAAAAAAAAAAAACTCAAAGTACCAGTTCTTTTACTGGGTGCCTTGATTCTTCATATAACAGCTCTTGTACGGCTTTGAAGGCTTGAACCTCTGCTCGAGACGCTCATTAAATAACCTCTCACGTGCCACTTTCAAGTCGCCGTCCGATCACAATTTGGCAAATCCTGTCATCAAAGACAGGATCAACATGAGGCATGCTGGTGCTTGTACTAAAGGCCGCAACAGGGGACACTGCGCGGTCCGCAATCGCAACCGTGAATCCCCATAGCCCATGTCGGCCTCTTCCTTAACTCACGCGGTGCACTTGTGCCGGCATCTCCGATCTTTGGCGGACCATCTCGAACACTTTATGATCCTTGATGTCGCGCGCAACGAACCCCAAAGGATTCTCCCGATCCGCTGGGTCGAAAATCCCAACCGCATATACGTTATACCCATTTCCCGAATGCTTGCGAAGCACGAGCTTCTGTCCGGGTCGGAGCTTGCGAACACGTTCTTGACGGCCTTCGAAGCTAACCCCAACAGCTCGACATAGCGTTCGTCCACCCGGAAGCTGCTCCATTGAAAGACACAAGATTTGTATATTTGGCCTCCAAACCCTCACCTTAAGTATGTATGCGAAGGACGAGCTTGACCATCTTCAAATGAAGAAAGTGTCAGGTATGGAGATCTCAATCCGATCTGCATTGCGCAGTCGTTTACATGAAGTTTTTGAGAAAGTGGTCCGATATAAGTCTGTCGATCACACTAGAGTGCTACACAGAGAAGCTTTGAGCATAATCAGTACAAATTGACGGCTAATCCGTCATTCTCATGCAACATAATCGCTTGGCATGAGATTGGCAATTGAGTCCGCATGCAGCACTACACTATTCGAAAAGTTGGCCAGACGGTGCACATTGAGGGTTTCGTTGCATGTCTCATATACGATTGCACAGAGTTGTGATTTCCAATATCATACATCAACTATCTTCCTCTCAGTAGGAACACCGCTACCTTTGGGCCACTATTTGTGTCATACCTTAGTACTTCATGCTTAAACATAATCGAATGCGACAATTCTAAATTGGTTCGCATTCAGCCCTGTCTATACCCTTGTCCATCTTTGACGCATTTGAGAACCTCAATATGTTACAATTACTTCATTCTCCCAATAATCACCGAATCACAATCATACACTCAGGACTCTCCTCGCCTGTTGGTGAGCTCAAATCCTCTATCAAAGGGTGACCGGAGGGCCTGCTCAACAAATGATCCAGATCGCTGGCATCTACCTCGTTGAGGAACGCTCGGACTGCAGGCTCCAGCTGTCTCCGATGCTGCCAGACTCGAGGGACTTCTCGAAACTGCAGCTTGACGAGCTTTGCCATCCTGAGAACGTACTTCCGCTCCAGCTTGTACTTGTAATCGCTGTTCCCGGACGCCGACTCGTGCTGCTTCCCCTTCCCTCGTCGCGGGCGGCTCACCTCAATCGCCTTCCCAAGCTTGAGGCCCATGTGTCCGAGCACAACGTTCATCACCGCCTTGAACTGGACGGGATCGAGTTCAACTTTTCCCTCTTTGGGCGCCGGCAACTGGATCCGGAACATCTCGGAAACGGGCTTCTCCGACATTGTGGTCTTTGAACCAACCTGCGTAGGGCGACCCTTGAACAGGTCTGATCGCAATAGCCTGCCTTTGAGTCCGCCTGCAAGGAGCGAGCGCGTTTCACCGTCCACGTCAAACGCATGCGCCAGGCCCAAGTCCTTGAGAAGCCCCCGCGCGGTCTCCACCATCTTGACCTCGAGACTCTGGCGGGCCACCGCCCCCTTGTCGAGGAACCGCCCTGGAAGTAGCACCTTTAGCATAAAGTCGAGCTTCTTTGAGAACGGGGGCTTGTACTCGGCCTTCGTCTCCTTGGAAAAGTGCTCGTCAAGGTCCTTGAGGCCGTAGAACTGGCAGGCCTCGTACCTCATCACCTCGACACTCTGCGACCCCCTGTCCCTCTTCGTGTCTCGCAACCTTCTCAACACCTCAAACTCCGCCGCACTGATCGCCCTCGCCCCGATGATCGCTAACGCCTCTGCGTCTAGCCCTTTCCGACTCTTGCTCTTTTTCGAAAGCTTTTCGGGTTGCTCGAGCTCCACCACGTGGCCGGCTCGCGAGACTTGCAGCTGGAATTCGTGAAGCAGGCGCGTGTCCGAGTTCCGCCGCTCTGCTTCCGTATGCGCGAACGTCCGGAAGAGGGGGCCGTCCTCGATCAGCCGGACAACTTTGCCCGGGTCCTCGGTTCTCGACGGGACTCGCCTCCATGCAGCCGTCACTTCGCTGTTGCAAGCTTGCAGAAAATGCAGCGTCTCCGCCGTGGTCACGCACCGCGGGGGGGCGAAGAGTCCCTGCAGAAAGAAACCTTGGGAGAAACCAGACTTGGGAGAAACCATTCATCACAGCTCTGCCATCAGTCGATGTTGTCATCATTATCGGGTTTGGAGGTTGCCCAGAAACTCCGAAAATGGCCCTCATAAGACTGCCCCCAAAATATGCCTTCAATAAAGCTAGCTTCTGAACAGGCCTCAAACTGGGCCCCAAGAAAGTAGCCCACCAAACCGAGCGCCTGAACAAAGCTAGCCTCTGAAGCCGCCTCAAACTGGGCCCC